GGACTGGGGCTAGCTGTTGGGCCACTGTCACTGAGGGGGACCCTAAACCCAATCAGCCCCCTCCTACCTGCTTCACAAAGTGCTGGAGCAGGCAACCGAGAGCCGCTGTCACTTCCACCGAAGATTTTAATGAGGGTCTAGCTGGTGCTTTGGGACTGTGGCGAGCCTGTGACACTTGCAGACTACAGTCTGTTAAGCAAACGCTGTGTCAGCTGACTTGGAGAGCAAAGGGGGGTCAGATTTTAAAGATGTCCAACAACAACAATAATCAAGAAGAGAAGGAGGAAAAAGAAGAGGACGCTGAAGATAAAAGAGAGGAGGTCACAGTGAACACTGCGCTGCTTCCACCTCCTACTGAGGTCAATGTGAAGAGTCCAGCTGAGGACGAAAAGCCAGTGCCCAAGCCCTTGCCCAACGGGCACCACTGCCAGCCTATGAACTTCAGTATCTTTCCTCTCTCCACAGTCTCACCAGCAGCAGAGAGGATTCGCTTCATTCTAGGTGAGGACGACGATGGCCCGGCGCCCCCACAGCTCTTCACCGAGTTGGATGAGCTCCTGTCAGTGGACGGACAGGAGATGGAGTGGAAGGAGACGGCCAGGTAAGATCCTATTTGTGTGTATCTGCTTAGTTAAAATCATATCCTTTCAAGGAGTCACTAAAAATGTGAATAAAAATGATGAAAAACCAGCCTCACGTTAAAGTTTTTATCTCAAAAAGAATGAATATATGTTTGTTATGGAAAAACAGTGAACAGACATTTGAAAACAGCTCCAAGTTTAAAACTGAGCTCAGAGTTTTACTGGTTTCTTCTGAGTGGCTCTCTAGTGGGACGCACTGGGACAGAGATGGGATGATTGTTTATACATAATTAGCAGTGGATGAGTGAAGTTCTTTCAGGAGGAAACAGTCTCTGGACCGCTGCTCGAGGCACCCAATCAGCGATTCATTATCCTAAACTCAGACATACTGTAGAAGTTTTGATTCACTGTTGTTTAAACAGTTTGCAGAAGTACTGCTGACACTTTAAAATTGCTTTTAATTAAACTCAGTGAAGCTTTTAATTGCTAAGTTCTGCTTTAAATCTAGTTGACTGTCGTTTTAAATTTGGCCTTTTTGCCAGCATTTCTAATGACTGACGATAAAATTGTCCAGCCTCCGCCCCCGTGCCTACTGCACACAGGAAGTTATTATATATGACTGAAGGATCAGATGAGGGGCTGATCCTTCAGTCAGCTCTGCAGAAACTTCAGCATAATTTAACCTGCACTGGACCACATGTTTAAAACGCACTATGATAGGTAAGTGTGGCCTCGGGAGTGATGATTCCCATCATTTCATGTCAGCCGTCTGAAAAAATCTAATAAAAAGCAATAAAAAAGCTGATCTACTTGATAGAAGAGGATGCAGCATATTTTTTCAGTCTCTAAAAATAAAAATCTTTAGCATACAGAAACTGTAAGGAAAAAAAAACCAGGCTGCACAGCAGTGCAAGAGTTGTAGTTCAAAATGTAAGAACTTGTGCAGCATCTCGCCGAGTACACTCAGAGGACTCAAACTGAATAAAAGCTCTGCGACGTGCCGGGCCGTGCTGACTGCCTGCCAAGTGCGGTTTTGGCAGCCAAATTAAAACCGCAGTATAGAAACAGCCGCTCAGCAACACCTCTGATTCTCAGGTCTCTCACTCTGAGCTGTCGAAATGAAGAATGGCAAAAAGAAATAACAATGCAGACTCAGAATCCAGTTTTTCCCCCAATAATGAAAAATGAAAAATTGATTGATTTAAAAAATAATGGCTGACCCTCATCAAACAGTTGCTCGTCAACAGGTCCACCAAGCGTACATTTGATGGCTCATAATTTGGACTAAGCAAAAAGCAAAAAGCATGAAATAATCCTTTAAGTTTGTCATATATTTGACAATATTTATTTTTCCTTTTTTTCCCAAGACAAAGTTTAATTAAATTTTATTTATACAGCGCCAAATCAACACAACAGTTGCTTCAAGGCGCTTTATATTGTATGTTAATGACCCTACAATAACAGATACAGAGAAAAACCCAACAGTCATGTCGCACTTTGGCGACAGTAGGAAGGAAAAACTCCCTTTTAACAGGAAGAAACCTCCGGCAGACCGGTTGGGGTGAGAGAAGGGCGAGAGTACAAAGACATATTACAAGTATGAGTCAGTGCAGAGAGGTCTATTAAAACATAGTGAGTGAGAAAGGTGACTGAAGAAGAAACACCCAGTGCATCATGGGAATCCCCCGGCAGCCTACACCTATTGCAGCATAACTAAGGGAGGATTCAGGGTCACCTGGTCCAGCTCTAACTATATGCTTTAGCAAAAAGGAAAGTTTGAAGCCTAATCTTCAAAGTACTAGAAGTGCAATACATACTTGCACAGATATTTTTAGTGGTGGCATTTTTCACCAGGCTCTTGTTCATTGTGACACTCTATATTCTGAAATTATGAGAATAGCTTGGGCTAAAATTAGACTTGTGATGCCTCGAAGCCACCCATACTTACTCTCTAACACTGATATCTCTCCTCTTACATCCTGACTGTACAGCCTGTTTTTGGTATGCCTGCTTCCACCCCAAGTTAGCAGGTTACCGCTTAGTAAATTTCTATAAAATAAAATAATGTAAATGTTTATCCAAGACTATGATAAAAAGATTTTCATGTTAAATCGTGTGCCTGTCTGAGTCTTTTTTCTTTTTTGTTTGAATCCAGGTGGATCAAGTTTGAGGAGAAGGTGGAGAAAGGTGGAGAACGCTGGAGTAAACCTCATGTGGCGACGCTGTCCTTACACAGCCTCTTTGAACTGAGGACATGTATAGAAAAAGGCACCATCATGCTGGACCTGGAAGCTTCCACGCTACCTCAGGTTGTTGGTAAGCTCATCTCTTCAAAAATAATTTGTTTGTTTTTTTTTTTTAATTCCAGCAGCTACAAATTAATTTAACCCATCGAGTGATTATCGCCATGATGTGTAATCACACCTGGAACAAATTCATATAAAGCACAGTTCATCCTGTGATTGTGAGGTTAAAAGTGCAGTAGAACTTTACTTCAATAATAGATGTGTTGCATCTTTAAAAGGTTATGTTCACATAGTTCAACCACAATGGTTGAGAGAAGTTTAAGTGGAAGTAGCAGCAGGACCAAAGTGTCTTCATCCCACTTCATATGTAAATTCAAGTGGTCTCACTGCAGAGATACATAAGTGGACAATGTTTCAGCTTCATCTCATGGTTGGGGCTATGATGGGAACCTCAGACTGCACATAAATGATGGCTAT